AGTTGCCTGTTCACTCTGATGATAATTTCTGTTGCTGTGCAGAAGCTCTTTAGTTTAATTAGATCCCATTTGTCAATTTTGGCTTTTGTTTCAATTGTTTTTGGCATTTTTGTCGTGAAGTCTCTGCCCATACCTATATCCTAAATGGTACTGCCTGTGTTTTCTTCTACGGTGAAAACACCTAAACGTTCTATATTAAATTGCCTTTGCATCTTTGTTAAAAATCAACTGACCAGCCAGGCATGGTGGCTCATGCCTGTAATCCCAGAACTTTGGGAGGCCAAGGTGGGCAGATCACGAGGTCAGGAGATCGAGACCATTCTGGCCAACGTGGTGAAACCCCGTCTCTACTAAAATACAAAAAAATTAGCCAGGTGTGGTGGTGCGCACCTGTAGTCCCAGCTACTTGGGAGGCTGAGGCAGGGGAATTGCTTGAATCCGGAGGGGCGGGGCTGGAGGTTGCAGTGAGCTGAGATCGTGCCACTGCACTCCAGCCTGGTGACAGAGGAAGACTCCATCTCAAAAAAAAAAAAAAAAAAAATCAATTGACCACATTTGTGGGTCTTTTTCTAGACTTTCTATTCTGTTAGGTTCATCTACATATCACATCACCAATACCATACTGTCTCAATTACTGTAGTATATCTTAATATTAGATTGTATGAGTCTTCTAGCTGTTCCTTTAGAAAAATCTTTGTCTATTCTTGTTCCTTTACATTTACATATATATTCTAGAATTCACTGTTCTATATCTATAAAGAATCTTGATGGCATTTTTATTGTGATTGCATTAATTCTGTGGAGCAATTTGGGAAAAATTGACATCTTAACTACATAAGTCTTCCAATCCATGGACAGAGTTTGAGTTGACATCTTTGCTTTATAGGGTCTTTCAATTCATGGACAGAGTTTGTCTCTCCATTTACTTACATTTTCTTTGATTTTTTTTTTTTACTTCAGAATTTTTTTAAAATCTTAGTGCACAGATTATGCACATATATTCTTAGGTTTATATTTAAGATTTTATTGAGAGAGTATTATAAATGATACTTATAAAAATGATTGGTTCCCTATTGTTCATTCCTAGTGAATAGAAAACAGTGGATATTTGAATGCTGACCTTGCATCTGCTAAAATTACTAATAGCTCTAAGAACTTTTGTGTAGATTCCTTGGGATTTTATATGTAGATATCATGTCTACAAACAGAGGTAGTTTTATTTCTTCCTTCTCAATTTGAATATTTTCTTTTTCTTGTCCTACGTCACTTTCTAAGATTTCCAGTATGATATTAAATAGAACTGGTGAAAGTGGACATACCTGACTAATTCCTGGTCCTGAGGGGTAACAATTAGTCTCTTATTATGTTAGCTGTGGTTCTTTGTAAGAGCCCTCTATGATTAAGGAAGTTTTCTTATATTCCTAGTTTGCTAAGAATTTTAATTATGAATGGATATTGAATATTTAAAAATGCCTTTTCTGCATCTACTGATGTGATCATGTGGTTTTTCTTGTTTAGTTTGATTTTTTAATGTTGAACCAACTTTACATTTTTGGGATACACCTTAAATTGGGTGCGATGTATTATTCTTTTTATACATTTTTGGATTGGATTTGATAATATTTTGTTGAGGATTTTTATGTGTATGTTCTTAAGGAATATTGGTCTAGAGTTTTCTTATTTTTCTACAATGGTAGCCTTATAAAATGAGTTGAGAAATATTCTCTTGTGGACTTTGGGAGGCTGAGGTGGCTGGATCACGAGGTCAGGAGACTGAGACCATCCTGGCTAACACAGTGAAACCCCGTCTCTACTAAAAATACAAAAATAAATTAGCCAGGCATGGTGGCGGGCGCCTATAGTCCCAGCTACTCGGGAGGCTGCGGCAGGAGAATGGCATAAACCTGGGAGGCGGAGCTTGCGGTGAGCCGAGATCAGGCCACTGCAGTCCAGCCTGGGGGACAGAGCAAGACTCCATCTCAAAAAAAAAAAAAAAAAACAAAATGAATTAGTCTCCCTTTCTGTTTTCTGGAGGATATTGTGTAGAATTGTTATTCTTTTTTAAATGATTGTTTGAATTCACCACTGAAACCATCTGTGTCTTGAATTTTCTCTTCTAGAAGGTGTTTAACTACAGATACAATTTCTTTAAGAAAAATAGGTTTATTCAAGTTTTCTGTTTCTACTTGGGTGAGTTTTCATAGCTTGTGTCTTTGAAGGAATGGGTCTATTTCATTTAGATTGTTGAATTTGTGCACACAGAGTTGTTAATAGTGTTCTCTCATTATCCTTTTTATGTCTGTAGGGTCAGTAGTGACATCTCATTCTTTATGTTGGTAATTTGTGTTCTCTCTCCTTTTTTTGGTCAATCTGTCTTGAAGTTTAACAATTTTATTGGTTTTTCTTTTCAAAGAAACACATTTTAGTTTTATTGGATTTTGTCTATTTTTTCTGTTTTGAATTTCACTGATTTCTACTCTTTATTTCCTTTTGCTTACTTTGAATGTTTCCTCCTTCTTTTCTAACTTAAGATAGAAGTTAAAATTATTCATTTTATATCTTCATTTCTAATATAAACACTTAATCTACAGATTTCTCTCTAAGCACTGCTTTAGTTTCATCCCACAGATTTTGATATATTTTCATTTTCATTCAGTTCAAAATATTTTCTATATTTTTGTGACTTTTTTGATTATTTAAGGGTGTGTTAATTTATAATATTTTGTAGTTTTTCATGTATCTTCTTTGTTGACTTCTATTTTAATTCTATTAAGAGAACATTTATTGTCTTTTATATATATCAGAAAAGCTGCTGGAATTTTTTATTGGAATTGTGTTGTTTTTATAAATTAATTTGAGGAATACTGACATCTTAGCAATATTGACTGTTTTGGTCCATTAACAATATATATCTTTCTATTTATTTAGGTCTTCCTTAATTTTTCTCAGCAATGTTTTACAGTTCTAAGTGTAGAGATATTTCATCTCTCTTGTCAGATTTATCTATAAATATTTCATATTTTTAATGATATTGTAAAAGTCATTGTTTTAATTTTAATTTCTGATTTTTATTTTATTGCTAATATATGGAAATACAATTGATTTTGTACATTTGATCTTGTATTTTTCAACCTTGTGAAACTTAGTTATTAGTTCTAGAAATGCATATTTAATGTAACTATTGATATGCTTAGATTAAGTGTAACATTTATTATTAGTTTTCTGTTTTTCTGTTCTGTTTTTAAAATTTCTCTATTTTCCTTTTCAAGCCATCTTTTGAGTAATATAAGTAGTTACTTAAATAATTGTGAAGTTTCATTTTAATTTGCCTATTGACCAAAATCTGTATTAGTATCCTAGGGCTGCTATCACAAATTACCACAAACTTAGTGATTTTAAACAACAGAAATGTACCCTCTCAGAGTTCTCAAGGCTGGAAGGCTGAAGTCAAGCAGGCCCTTGCCCCTCTGGGGGCTCTGAGGGAGAATCCATTCCTTGCCTCTTCCAGCTCTGGTGGCCATCATCAGCCCTGCATGTGGGGCCACATCACCCCCATCTCTGCTTCCATGGCCCCATTGTTTCCTGCTCTGTTTTCAGTGGCTACTCTAGAGATTATAATATACTTCCACACTTCACACAATCTGCTTAGAATTAATATTTTATCACTTCAAGTGAAATCAAGAAGTCTTTGAGCTACATAAGTCTCCTTACCCTCTCTCCTTTATGATGTAATTGTCATATACATTGCGTCTACGTGCATTGAAAATCCCAGCAGTGCTATTTTTTGGTTATAATTTTTGCTTCTTTCTGTGGTCTGCCACCCACTATTTGATTCCCAGGGGTCCCCTTTCCTGGTGTTCTGGCTGGAAAACAGTTTCAGCTCTTCCCATTGCAACTGGTTCTCATCTTGGGGCAAAGCAGTGAGAGAAAGGAGCCTGCAAGATCACTACCACCATCCCTGCATGACAGTTGCTTCTGCCCAGGGTAGAGTGGGAAGAGTGAAAAGGGGTCCACCCCATAAGGACAGCCTTTTCACTGCCAGTTGGCAGGGGCGGGGGCAAAGGACTGACTGACCTCTGCTGTGCTTGTGAGATGTGTGTGGGGGTGGGGTGGGGAGTAGGGGATGGGGGTGGGTGGCACTGCTGTTACTTCCTAGCACTTGAAGTCAGAAGTGTTTGGGGCTGCCTCCTGCTCATGACTAGTTGAGGGCAGACAGAGGGCTAGGTCGGTGGGGGTGGGGGGCTACCATTTTGCTGCCGGCAACTAGATCAAAAGGGATCTACCCGGCAGAGGCCCCTGCTCCTGATTTGCTAGGCAGAGTAGGTTTTTTTTGGAGCTCTCCCTGTTTGGGCATGTTCACAGTTCTAATTCCAGGCGGTCCTAGAGCCCAAGGTGGGATATGTAGGAAGGAGGAAAAGACAAACAACAACAACGACAACAAAACACCCACCCTCAAACAAAAAGTCAGAGAGCTTCATTGCTTTGTTGTCCTTTCAATGCCGTACTCCCTACTTCCTTGGTCTTTTGTCATCTAGCTTTCAGCATTATCTGATAGGGATTTTATATATTCAGTTCAGATTTTTAGTTGTAATCAGTGGGAAAGATTGGATGGAGTGTGCTTAGTCTACCTTAACTGGAACCAGAGACCCTCTATGTAATTTGTAAAGATTTATCCAATATTTTTCACTACACTGAATAGTTATCAAGGGTAATATCCTTGAGTGTAGTGTAATTCAGTATGTGAATCTATCCATATATTTGGGATCCAGCATACAGTATTTGATATGTGGTATAAATTCAGTGATAAAACCCTGTTCTACTCTGTTTTAATTATTTTTGTGATTTTTTTTATTGAAGCAAAGTATCATTTTTGTTTTAATGTTTGTATAGCTTTCCTGCACTTGGCAGGAGTTATCCTCATATTTAGACTATACTTTCAGTGTTTTATGGTTGCCAAATCGACTTTTAGTTTTCATTGGGATTACTGCTTTGCTTTGCAGTGCTGAAACTTCTTTGTTGAAGAAATGTCTTCAGAGTCAGAAAAGGATAAAGAGAGACTGATTCAAGCTGCCAAAATGTTCTTCTTTCATGTACAAGATTTTGCTTCTGTCACAAACACACTGACTGAGTTGTTTAACCGCAGTATGAATACTCAAATCCTTTTGATGGCTGTGAAAAACAATAGTAACATTAAGGATTTTTTTGAGCAAATGCTCAAAATTTTTAAGGAGATGCAATCTGTAGTGGATGCAAAACATGACAAAATTCAAAAGGAGTCTTTAGGTTCCAAGGTTGCAATGGCCATGTACTCTGTGTTTCAGAAGGGTACCAATGTAGAGGAGTTGCATCAGTCAGCTAAAGAAGTGTTCAAAAGTGCCCATACACCAGTTATCATCTCTGCGCTAAACAGCAGTAACATCCTTGGGAGTTTGGAATCTTCTCTTTCACACTTGATGAAATTCCCCATCATGAATCTTCAATTAAGTGACTTCTATACAGAAGACACCAAAGAGCAATCAGATGTCACCACATCTGAGAGAAGCAGGAGTCCAGATTCTTCCAAAACCACTATGATAGACACCTTGAAAAAACTGCAGGATGCACTAAAAACTGAGGATTCCAAAAATCCCATAGAGTCAGCAGCAGATTTGTTGGAACAAATTGTCAAGGCTATGGGACCAATCTTAGAGATTCTCCAAAAAGCCATAAAGACTATGGAAATGAATATTTCTGTGTTTAAGAAAGCCAGTGACAAGTAGGGATACAACAGAACTGTTCATTTCTGTCAGGAAACTAATTCAAATCTTATGGTTTTTCATAGTGGTTTCTAAGATCTTTTGGTGCCAAACATGGTATGTTAGAACATAAGTACACGAAAGTCATCTGGCAAAACATTTACCTGTAGTTTTGCTTTATTAAAATGAAAATAAATAATTCAGAAAGCCTGTTTGAAGTGTCAGTCACTAAGAAGAATATATTGTTGAGAAAAACAAGGTGGTATTACATTTGAGGATGTTTCTAAATATTATGTTTCATCTTAAAGCATAATTAAAACAACCCTAAAGTAGTTCCCACTCAACTATTCCATTTCCAGTGAGAAGTCCAGGTAAACTGTAAATGTTGTCATTAGATAGACAACCTAGGCCTGGGAAACAAAATAAACTCAATTTTTGTCACTCATATACCAATTTCTATATACTTCAGTACCTTGATGATCAGAAGCCATCACTAAATATTTTAGATACGATTCATTCATAAGTAAATAAGAACAGTGAATGAGCAATAGTAGACTTTTCTTGCTTATGTGAGTAAGACTAGAGCAGATAGTTCATTCTCATTTGTCTCCTTCCGAGGTCTTATGATTAGGAGATTAGAGGTGGAAAAATGGAGGTACTCTAGCCTTTCACAAAGAAAAGATTTTCACAGAGAAAACACTTGCAGAAGTAGAATATCTGAGATGTGTTTGTATTTAAAGAGATGAGATAGGACAATATCTTTGTCTACCATAAGTCTTTGGTTCTCATGCATTGTAAATGAGTGTGTACTCCTAAGATTGGCCTTGAAGTTAACTATTTCACATGATACCTGATAGAAACTCTGTTGAGAATAGGAAAAGCAATGATAACTCCAAGCCAAAGTCATCATTGTAATTACTACTGTCATTTAAAATAAGGAATCCCTTCTCCATCCTCAGACAAATGGTAAGAATTTCAGAATGTTTGGTAGGGAGGGTCAAGTGGATTTTGACCATTACCAGAGCTTGGAGGTCCTGGAAAAAAGGATGAGTTTCAATACATTAACTCTCATTTTCTCTCCACAGCAAAGCTGAAATCTTGCTTATTTGTAATAGGTTTCTATTAAGAACTCTATTATTTTGAAGAGGATGTTAAATTGATTCATTTGCTGCCATCACCTCAGAAGAAATATACACACACACACACACACACATACATATACACACACACACACACACAGAGGGTGAGAGAGAGGAGAAGGGAGACAGGACTCTCATTTTGCTACTTTTTCTAGACCTATATGTGTCTAGGGTTTCAATCTCCTTTTAGTCTTGGAATTATGTTTCAGAATGTTGCATGCAACAGCTAGGGGGATTCATATGGAAGTGAATGAGACAAAGACCAAGAAAAGTCTTGGTGCAGAGTCTTTCTGTGAAGTGACTGGAAGAATGGCTGGTGGCAGTTCACAGGAAGTCCTTGCCAGATGCCAGTGGGAATGACAACCAGGGTGTTAGAGATGGGAAGTGCCCACTTCAATAAAGATGAATGGTCTTCAAGTGCTGGTGGCTGTTGTTAGGCTGGTGATCACTTACAGTGTTTCACATTTTCCCACTACTGGGTACCACCAGTCTGACCACTCTAATGACATCATGTCTGCTACTGCCTCTTGGCTTATGGAAATACTGAGGAAAGGCTGTATTTTTTCTCAAACCTATTACTCACATTTAATGTCTCTCAAATACTTTGGTTGTGGGTTCCTCTCATTTTCTCTAATATCCTTCGATTTTTGAAGAACAAAGTGGGGTGGACTCAGGTGTTTCTATGCTATGCCTGGTCTCATTCCTCCTCTAGGCTGTGAACATGGCATGGCCTAGCTGTTTGAATGAAGCATAAGTAGGGAGGAAAAAGTGAACTGCCACACAACAGAACACAACACATGATCATTTACTATTATAAAAAAGGAAATCCTATTCTACTTGTATTTTTTTTCTTTATCAGTTGCCAATGTTTGCTGCATCTTGGTATTTCTGAAAGCACCTAATTCAATAAATGCTTGTTGAATTTTACCAAATCAAGAGCTAGTTCATTCAGTGTAAATCAATTTGATTAATATCATTAGACAACTCAGTACAAGAATCCTGATTCTTCCAGCAAAACAAACTCTACTGAAATTTTCTTTCATTGGATTTTTTTAAAAAAGAGTAAATAGAGGACTTCAGGATAATCTAATAAGCATATTAAAGAGAACACTTTGTTATAAAAATAAAGTATTTCATGGGTTGAGTATTTTTACTTTTTAAATTTTTCCTGTTTCAGTCAGCTTCCTCAGGTTAAACAGTATATTTCTGTACACATCAAAAGGAGAGATGCATGTATTTCTTTAATAAAATTACTATAGGATATAAGTATTCCTTATAGCACAGTCTCTGTTAACAATTGCATGAATTTACACATATTTGAGCATCCACTTTATCTTTGAAAGATATCCCAGCCTGACAAATTTATCCCAGCAGAAATTACAGTGGAATTTCTAAAGCTAGTCTCTAAGAGTCTCTTAGAGTTTCATAAACATGTAACTTAGACTTTGAATCAATTTAAATCAATACTCTATAGACTCCTTGCTCAAAAACTTTGACTATAGGGAGAGACTGAGGGGATGTGAACCATGTACATTTATCCTTAACCAAACTCATGAATCTGCATAATTTTAAGAGAATAGTTTCTGTCTCCAGAGATTTGATCTGTAAAACAGCAGCAGGAGTTAGAACTAAGTTATTTTTTTTAGAAACTTGGCTATTCCCCTAAGGATCATAATCATGTAAGTCACAGTGTTCTCAAATGTTGGTGTATAGCAGAATCATCTAGAAGACTTATTAAAACAGACTGTTCAATTTCTGATTCTGTAGTCTGGGATCGGGCTCTAAAATTCACATTTCTAAAGGATGCTGTTGCTGCTTGTGCCTGGAGAGTCAACGCTTTAGGAGAATTGTCTTACTCAGAAAATTATGGCTTCTCATTGGAAATCAAATGCTTTTGGCTGACTTTTTAGCTTCACTGAGTGGCTTCCAATTGCCTGTCCAGCCCACATTACCCCTCACTCTCTGCCAGACCTGTCTGCTCCCTGACCTTATGCTGTACATACATCGATCATTCTGTATCTGCTTCTATTTTCTACTTTCCTCTAAATAAAACCTCATCTCTGATAGAAAGTTTTATCTAACCATAGGCCAGAGGAACCACATTTTTGTCTCAGCTCCAAGAATTTAATATTTGGCCTTGTTTTGGGCACTACACACTTGGCACATACTCTTTCTTGTTTTTTTCTCCTTCCGCTCACCCCTTCTCCCAGGCTAGAGCCCTAAGGACTGGTTCAAATGCAGCCTCTTACTTAAAGCCTTCCAGCTGTCTCTTCTTGCCTAGGTTGGAAGAAATCTTTCTTTTGAATTGTTTTGAACAGAAAACTTGATTTTTGCCTTTTTTTTTTTTTTTGGCCTTTCACTTGTGGCTTGCTTATGTTCTTAATTTCTCCCAAGAGATTGTAAACTCATGAGAGATCTGGCCTAGTGTTCTCAACTTTTAATCCCCAAAGTGCTTTGTACATAGTATGGCTCAATACATGCATTTCTATGGCACAGGAAAAATGTACTTAAGATGTTGGTTGGCTTTTCCCAACATAGCATGTCATTACTGACTCATCAATGCTCACTGGAAAAGCTTGTTCCCAGAGCCATGCCCCCAGGACTCTCTACTAGGTAGCCACCAAACTGCCAAAGACCCTATCCTATGCAAGTCACATAAATTGTCTGTTTGTAGAAATTCTTTCTTTTTTTTCTTTTTTTGAGATCGAGTCTCACTCTGTTGCCCAGGCTGGAGTGCAGTGGTGTGAACTTGGCTCACTGCACTACCTCCAGCTCCTGGGTTCAGGCAATTTTCCTGCCTCAGCCTCCCAAGTAGCTGGGATTACAGGCACACACTACCATGCCTGGCTAATTTTTGTATTTTTAGTAGAGATGGGGTTTCGCCATGCTGGCCAGGCTGGTCTTGAACTCCTGACCTCGTGATCCATCCTCCTCGGCCTCCCAAACTGCTGGGATTACAGGGGTGAACCACCATGCCTGGCAGAAATTATTTCCTTTTATTGACCGTAGAGGCTACTGCAACTAGGTGACAGAGGTGATTTGGCCCTGTTAGTTTCAAATCCCAATGTAAAGAAGGATAGTACAGAGATGCCTGAGCTCCCTGCTGGGTAATTTTATGTAGCTTATTCCCCATTCTGTTTCTTTGATCATGACACAGGCCATTCAGGAAGTCCCATGGAGAGTAAATAGATGGATCGATTTTCAGTTTTGCTGCTTCTTATCCAAATCTCAGAAGGGATAAGGAGCATGGACTTTCAAAATCCAAAATTACAGAGTTAGCCCACATCTTTACTCCATTTAGCCTGATCCCAGGGTCTTTAGTGATCATGATCAGGTTAAACAATCCCTTATGTCTCTACCTAAATTACTACCTGAGGGAAGCGTTAGAGAACATTTCCAGCTATGCAATTCAACAATTTATACTTCTCTGCATCTGCTAGTTTACATGTAATGAGACCTCACGATATCGCTGATATTTGTTTGTAATCAGTGTTTTTTTCCTCTCATAATCTCTGTTAACCTTCACACATACCCTTATGTTTTCCTAATATTTAAATTTGCTATGAAGACTTAAATTTGCCATCAGGTTCTCTATAAATTAACGTATGAGTTTAAATTTTAACTTTTGTAATGTCTTAGGAACATCCATGAACACCCATTAGTGCTGGTGAATGAGATTTCACTAACATCTTTCATTAACTTTCCCTTTTATTTCTCAAGTTTCCATGTGTCTTCTCATCTGAGACCATACTAGCTTGATCTTGAATGCTCATAAAAATATCTGAAGAAAATTCACACCTTGATTAATCTCTGGGGTTCAAAGCTTTTCCGTTTGGTGAAAAATTTGTCCTTTGCTTTCTAACTTGATCTTCTTTGATTTGTTCCTATTTGGAATAACTAAATTAAAAAAAAAAGGAAGAGTCCTTGTATTCATTGGAACTCCTTCAACTGCTTGATGCTTCACATAGAAAATCTAATTCAAATTATGCAGGCAAAACCATAAATTATTGATTTATATAATGAAAAATCTTGGAGTATTCAGGTTTAGGCAAAGTTGGATCCAGAGGCTTATA